GACCTAAGGGCACCTCTGGCAGTGTAACATGTCCCTCAGCACTGCACTGGGGGAGACATGTTGTGTTACATGGTCATATCCTGGGGAGTGTGTAGCTGAACCTACAACATGCTGAATCGGAGCTGCAGGGTCTACCTGTCCAGGGGATTTGGGCCGTTATAAACTTTGAGGTGGGCGCAGGCAAATGGCACATTTACAAACTTTGAGGAGACACGGCACCACACCCCACCCCCAACATCACCTCCACAGTTTGTCCAAAACTGCAATGGTGCCAAAGGCTGAGAAGAGGCTGTAATAGCAGTACATTACAACACGGGGGAGCTGCTGGATCAAGTAGCAGATCTGGGATGAGCTCTGGGCTAAATGAAGGAGGAAATCTCCCAGCAAGTGTCAGAAGGGACACAAGCTCAGCAAACAATTGTTTATAAAGCCACCAGAAAATAAATACTTCCAGGCTGTGGGCTGTGATGGAATCTGTAGCACTGATTAACGCCATTTTACCCATGCTAGCACTCTGAAAGATTTCTCCAATTGGTTCCTCTGTGTGTGCATGTCTGTATGTGTGTATGTGTGTGTGTCTGTGACTGTGTGTGTGTCTCTGTGTGTATGTATGTATGTGTATGTGACTGTGTTTTTGTGTATGTGTATATAAGTTTGTGTGTGTGTGTGTCTGTGTCTGTGTGGGTGGATGTGTGTGTGTGTGTGTGTGTGTCTGTGTCAATATGAATTACCGGGGGTACTGATTTAAGGTGACTTACAGTAAGATTAGAGGGGGGCTGTGAGGAAAATCGGTTTCGCCCAGTGGGTGGTGGATGTCTGGAATTTACTGCACAGTTTGGTGGCAGAAGCAGAAAAGGAATCAGGATCTAATGTGCTAAATCTACAAGGCTCAGGACAAGGAGCTGCACAGTTGGGTTTAAACGGGAGGCTAGTTCATCTTCTGTTGGCTGGCACGGACACAATGGGCCAAGTGGCCTCTTTCTATAGCTTCACTTTTCTGAGTGCAGTTGTAGTATTGCCCAGCTCAGCCACAGATTAATCGTAGGGTCAGGATGGACCCTTAGCTGCTCCTAGCCTGCATTGAGCAGAAACAAAGCTGAGCCCCACTATTGTGCTTCTGATGTTGCGAATGTGACAGCCTTTCAGAGAGGTTTGGGATACCTGGAGGATGCCATCAATACTAATGTGCTTTAGGGAAGGAAACTGCCATCCCTACCTGGTCTGGCCTACTTGTGACTACAATGTGGTTGAATCGTAATTGCCCTGTGGACAATAAACGCTAGTCTAGCCAGTGACACTCTCATCCCATGATTGAATTAAAAAAAATGCTAGAATCTATTGCAAAGAATGTAATGAATGGATACTTGGATAAAAATGATCTGAGTGGGCATAGTCAGCATGGATTTGAAAATGGAAGATCTGGTCTGACAAAACCTGCTGGAGTTCTTTGAGGCTGTCACTAACAAAATTGGTAATGGGGTGTTGATATTCTTTGAATTTCAGAAGGCTTTTAATGAGCTGTCCCACCGGAAGTAAGATACCAAACTTAATGAAATCAAGATAGTGTATACTGGCAAGGTTTAGGCATTGAATAACACAAAGAGAACAGGAGTAGGAGTAAATGGATTACTGTCGTGTCTGCTCTGACTAGTGGGGTACCACATGGAACAGTTTTTAGGTTCCAGCTATTCACAATAAACATTAATACTCAAAATGGGGGCAAAATTTCCAAATTTGTGGATGATAAACTCAGTGGAAATGTGAGTTGTGAGGAAGATGTAAAATGTTTTCAGGACACCCACAATGAATGGTCAGGAACATGGAAGATGGGATATAATGTGGAAAAGTGTTATCTACTTCGATGTGGAATGGATGAGCAAAGTATTTGTGAAATGATGAAAGGTTGGGAAGTCTAGATGTACAAAGGGACTTAGATGTTCTTGTGGATAATTCACTGAAGGCTAACATGTAGGTACAGGAAGCTATCAGGAAGGCTAAGGGAATGTTAACCTTTATCATAAGAAGTCTTGAGTTCAAGAGTAGTGAAATCTTGCTCCAATTGTACAAGAGCTTGGCTAGACTATACCTGGAGTACTGTGCGCAGTTTTGTTCTCCTCAACTCAGGAAAGACATTATTACCAAAAAGGGATGTTTCACCAGACTTGTCCCCAGGATGGTAGGACTGTCCAATGAAGAGAGATTGGGTAAAATGTGCCTGTATTCTATAGAGTTTTGAAGAATAAGAAGTGATCTCATTGGGGAGGGAGTGGCCTAGTGGCATTATCTCTGGACTTTTAATGTGGAGACAAAATACTGTTCTGGGGACTTGGGTTCAAATCCCACCACATCAGATGGTGGAACTTGAATTCAATGAAAATCTGGAATTAAGAGTCTAATGATGACATTGTCAATTGTCGGAAAGACCTATCTGTTTCACTGATGTCCTTTAGGGAAGGAAACTGCCATCCTTACCTGGCCTGGCCTACAGGCCAGATCCACAGCAATGTGGTTGACCCTTAACTGCCCTCTGGACAATTAGGGATGGGCAATAAATGCTGCCTAGCCAGTGATGCCCTCATCCTGTGAATAACTAGACAAAAAGCAAAGTACTTAAAGAGATAAATGAAATGCGGGCAAGATGTTTCTCTGCATTGAAACAGATATTGCTGGAAAAGCTCACCAGGTCTGGCAGCATCTGTGGAGAGAAGTCAGAGTTAACATTTTGGGTTCAGTGACCCTTCCTGAGAAGATATTTATCTGGCTGGGGAGTCCAGAATGTGGTCCGCACAATGCCACTTCAGATTGAACTAAGGAGAATTTTGTTCACTCAGAGAGCTGTGAACCTTTGGCACTGTCTATCCCAGAGTGCTGTGGAAGCTCAGTCTTTGAGTATTCAAATGTAGAAATTAATAGATTTCTGATTAAGAAAGGGTTACAGGGATAGGGTGAGTAAAAGGCATTGAAATGTTCACTCAGACATGGTCATGTTAAATAGTAGAGTGTGCGCAGGGGGCTGAATGGTATAATCTTGTTCCTATATCTCTCCCTCTGATGGCAGATGTGTACAGTCACAGTCAGAGTTTACAGCGTGTTAGGATAAGCATTCACATTACAGTGCAGATTTACAGCATGTTATGTTGCAGTGTGTTATATTGCAGGTCTCCAGTGTGTTATACTACAACCTACAAAACGCTACAGTGTGAGACTGAATGATATATTGATAGCCTGCAGTGAGTTACACTGTGAGATGGCATTGTGTTATATTATAAGCCTGTAGTGTGAGCACATAGCATCTTCCACTGAGAACTGTCATAGAGTAACATAGTACATACAGTGGTATTCCCAACAGTTTGATAATTTGCATTATTCAGTGCTGTCATCTGTAACCTTTGCCAGCACTTCTGCTGTCTACAGTTCACTTTACCTGCTTAATCATCACCGTGACACATGGCAACAATTCCCAAAAGCTGCTGTGCACACTTGTGTTTTTATTATTTAACAGTGTAAGTCAAATATCTCAATCCAAGGATATAAAGCCAGCTTTATAATTGAGAAAAATAGGATTGATTTACTTTGCGGAAGGGATGGGTGGAGCCAGTCTGAGGCTAAAAGGGAACCTGGACATTATTTGAACAGTAGACAGCTGAAAGTGAATTATATAAATGTATAGGAAACAGGGCCAGGAAAATCTTACCTATTCCAAGACCAGGAAAACCACCTCCACTGAGGCTGCTTTTAAAGGTCAGGAACTGAATTGTTCCATTACCCTCTGAGTCTGCGTGCTCCCAGTATACACGCTCTCTACCGTTCTCATTCTCCTCCATAAACAATGAATGATTGACATTAGAAGCACTTACTCTAGCATCAGGGAAAAAATAACAGACCTTTCGCCAAACATTCCATGCATTTTTTATACATTTACTAACCTATCCACATTCACACTATATCCCTCAATCCTCCTCACTGTATCCCTCAATCCCTCCACACTGTATCCCTAAATCCTCATATCTGTATCCCTCAGCCCTCTCTCTATATCCCTCAATCCTCCTACCTGAATCCATCATCCTTCCTTTCTATTCCCTTACTGTAATGCTTAATCTCTCCTTTCAGTATCCCTCAATACTCCTCACTAGATCCCTCAATCTCTCCTCACTCTATCCCTCAATCCTCCTCACTGTATCCCTCAACCCCTCCTCACTGTATCCCTCAATCCTCATATCTGTATTCCTCAGTCCTCTCTCTATATCCCTCAATCCTCCTACCTGAATCCATCATCCTTCCTTTCTATTCCCTTAGTGTAATGCTTAATCTCTCCTTTCAGTGTCCCTCAATACTCCTCACTAGATCCCTCAATCTCTCCTCACTCTATCCCTCAATCCTCCTCACTGTATTCCTCAACCCCTCCTCACTCTATCCCTCAATCCCTCCTCCCTCTATCCCTCAATCCTTCCTCATTCTATCCCTCAATTCCTCTCAGCAGAGTGAGTAGAGAACACTGAAAGGGCTGAGACGCTTCCCAGGCTGGGGATCTGAGTCATTTCACAGCTGTGGCTGATGGGATCTTTTCACAGGAGACTAATTTCACCAGAGGAACTCAGTATTTCAGAACAAAACCTGGAAATAAAACAGCTTCATCAAATGAACAAGATCTATCCCATTTAGTAATGTTTAGTATTTAAAACAACAATCTTTTGAAGTTATTGAATGAGTGCATATAGCAAAAAGGCTGTTTTAAATTTACGCTGTCTCCTTTTCGCCATTGATTAGTATCAGTTCAGGGGACAAGGGAATACCTGATTGTGGTAAAAACTCACGTGATTTAATAATGTCCTGTAGAGACAGAAATCCATCATCTGTACCTGGTCCATGTCTCTAGGTAGCTGAAGTCAATTCCTAACTCCCCATTTGTGTTGAAACTGAGCAGTAAATACTGATCTTGGCTGTGATGCTGGCTGATGGAGAAAGAGCTAAGATCTCTGTTGATGTCTTTTAATTCTCAGATCTTTGCCAAGGTTTTCAGCCATTATGCCCTGGAATGTTACCTTCCCAAGATCCAGCAGGCTATTCAGGATGGTATCCGAGACTGGAGCAGCAGTGGGGAGCCCATCACCGTTTACCATGAGGCCAAGAAACTCACATTCCGTATCGCAGTCCGGGTCTTACTAGGATTCCGTGTATCCGAGACCGAACTAAACCTTCTGTCGGAAAGCTTTGAACAACTTGTCGCCAACCTCTTCTCCTTACCTCTAGACTTTCCGTTTAGTGGTTACAGGAAGGTAGGTTGCTTACAGAAGAAACTTGAGAATAGAATTCTGCAATCAAAATAAATTGTATCTCCACTGATATCAATCTCACTCCCTCACACTGTTTCTCAGTAACCCCTCTCTCCCCCAGTGTCCTGTGTTACTGACTGTATTTCTGATGTTAATCCAGCTCCCTCACACTGTTTCTCAGTGACCCCTCTGCCCCAGCATCCTGTGTTACTGACTATATCTTTACTGCTGTTAATCCAGCTCCCTCACACTGTCATTCAGTAACCCCTCTCTCCCTCAGCGCCCTGTGTTACTGACCGTATCTGTACTGATGTTAATCCAGCTCCCTCAAACTGTTTCTCAGTAACCCCTCTGCCACAGCGCCCTGTGTTACTGATTGTATTTCTGATGTTAATCCACCTGCCTCACACTGTCACTCAGTAACCACTCTCTCACCCAGCGCTCTGTGTTACTGACTGTATCTCTGCTGATTTTAATCCAGCTCCCTCACACTGTCACTCATTAACCCCTCTCCCCCAGCGCCCTGTGTTACTGACTATATCTCTGCTGGTGTTAATCCAGCTCCCTCACACTGTCACTCAGTAAGCCCTCTCTCCCAAGTGTCCTGTGTTACTGACTGTATCTGTAGTGATGTTAATCCTCCTCCCTCACACTGTCACTCAGTAACCCCTCTCTCCCCCAGCGCTCTGTGTTACTGACTGTCTAGCTCCCACCTCCAGCATCCTGTATCCCTCTGTATCTCTATTAGGACAGTCAGAGATGGACTGGGTTTAGGTTAGTACTAATCCTGGCATCCTGTAAAGCTCTAAGAGGCTGACAGCCTATAGCTGCCTCATGAGTGAAGGCCCTTAGGATTGCAATTTGAGAAATGTGAAAGATTGTTCTGATATAATTGGAGCTGCTGAACGGAGCTTGAAGCAAGAGGTGTGAGAGGTACATTTTTGCAGCCTTAACTTGTTCACCCATCAACTGTGTGTGAGCTGCCCTATGCTGGCTCCTGGTTAAACAACAACTTGAATTAAAATTCACATTCCTTTTATCAAATCTCTCAGTGGGCCTTGCCTTTCCCTGTTTGAGTCCCACACCCCTCTGAGATCCTTGCTCCATTGGTGGCCTCTTGCTGTACCTGGCTGAATTGCTACCCTGTTGTGGCTATGCCTTCAGCTGCCAAGGCCCTAAGCTTTGGAATTCCCTCCTCAGACTGTCTTTCTCTTTCTCTCTCTCTCTCCCTCCCTTTATGATGCTTCTTAAAATCCACCTCTTTGGCCACCTGTCCTAATATTGCCTGATAAGGTTGACAGGTCTTCTTGAAGCACCTTGGGATGTTTATAATGTTGAAATATTGATTGTTCTAAAATAAGTGTGCAAGGGTTTTGGCTTGACCAACGAAGAAGGAACTGTATCCTCATCTGTTGACTGGTGCTCCTTCTTACAGGGTATGCGAGCCCGGGACAATCTTCACAAATACCTGGAAAAAGCCATCAGTGAGAAACTGCAGTACAAAGAAGAGAAGGATTACTCTGATGCTATGGACATTCTGATAGACAGTGCCAGGGAACAAGGGAAAGAACTCACTATGCAGGAGCTGAAGGTAATAAATTCACCCACACCCCACTCCCAAAAGACACCACATACTTGTTGATTGATGCAGTGTCAGTTGGGAACAGAACTGGGCACGATTGGGATAGGCAGGTCTAACACAGAACTGGAGACAGCGTTCTCTGTACAGGGTTGGCAGTGAGGAGGATTGGTGGATGTGAGCAAGGAATATTTCCTGCAGATGACATAGAAACACAGATTGAAAGTAGAGCAAAAGTAGACCATTCGGCCCTTTGAGACTGCTCAACCATTCATCTGACCATGGCTCATCATTGAATTCAGTCCCCTGTTCCCCCTTTCTCTTGATACCTTCTGATCCCTTTAGCCCTAAGAGTTATATCCAATTACTTGTTGAAGGCAACAGGCCAGGCTTGAATGGCAGAGTAGTATACCAATGGAACATTCTGGAATTCGCCTTGTTTGCCTTTATGGATTGGGGAGTCATTCTGTGGGCAAATTGCGTGAAGGAGAATGGTTGGTGAGAAGCCATCTTGACTTGGCAGACAAACCTCCCCCCCCATCCCCCTTAACTCTCCCTCAAGGATGTGCGGAATGACAGGAGCTAGTGTAAAGAATCTTGTCAGACATAGGGATCTCCACATGAGAGATATGTCATGGTGTCGAGGTGATATTCCTGGATTGATAAAGTAGGCATCTGAACTATTAATCCATGAGACTGATTACAAAGGTCAAGGGGATCATTGGCTGCTCTATCATTAGAGAGAGAGAGAAAGAGAGATGGCCGATGGTGAGTTTCACCTGAGGGTCACCATGCCAAGAGGAGAGGTTGAGACTTCCATAGTGACCTTAGCTGGTGTAGGAATTGAACGCATACTGTTGGCATCTCTAGTCTGCCCATGTGTTGAATTCTCCATCACACCTTGCCATGACTTGCGATTCCATTGTTCCTGTCCTGAGACATTCTGTGATATGATCAGATGATAGAGATTTGAATGTTCAGAGGATACAAGAGGCTAGGTGCAGAGAAACACAGTACAGGAATCAGGAACAAAGGGGCATTTGAAACTGGACCATTCAGGGATGGAAACCGAAATGCTAGTGGCAATCAGAAAGGTTCTTCAAAAGACTGTAACATTGGTGAGTCAATTGGAGTTCTCAGAATTCAGATGGATAAATGTTTATTGGTGAAGTATATTGTGAAGCAAGAGCAGCTACAAAGAAATGGAATTGAGGTTCAGCTCAGCCACAATCAAACTGAATGGCAGGACAGGCCCAAAGCACCGAATGGCCTCCTCTTCCTGTCTCACCAAGTGGTGACTCGGTTAGTTTGAGATGTGGATCTGCATCAATAGTCAGGTGTCTCTCTCCCTGACGCACTCATGACATGTTACATCTCACAGAAGGTGGCTGTAGTAATAGATCTTCACCCAATAATATTTTAGCTCTCCAACACCAATTAGGAAAGGAAGAAAAGTAACTGGACAGAATTCTTTAAAACGAAGAAGAGTTCGAAAAGATAGACATAGAGAAAGTGCTTCAGCTTGCATGGTTATCTTAAACTAGAGATCACAAATGTAACAGGTGGCACAGTGGTTAGCACTGCTGCCTCACAGCACCAGGAACCCGGGTGCAGTTCCACCCTCGGGCCACTGTCTGTGTGGAGTTTGCACATTCTCCCCTTGTCTGCGTGGGTTTCATCCCACAGTCCAAAGATGTGCAGGTTAGATGGATTTGCCATGGTAAATTGCCCAAAATGTCCCTGGATGAGCAGGTTAGGTAGATTGGCCATGGGAAATGCAGGGTCACAGGGATAGGGTAGGGGGTTGTGTCTGGGTGGGATGCTGTTCAGAGGGTCTGCGTGGACACAATGGGTTGAATGGTCTGCTCCCACGCTGTAGGGATTCTGTGTTAGATAGTTGCTTGTAAACTCAATAGGGGGTTCAGGAGAAGCCTTTTTACCTAAAAGGATGTGACAATGAGTGACACAGAACATTGGACTTAAGGAGTAGGGTCTAAAATTTACAGCCTATCCTTTCAAGTGGGGCATTAGCAGTTATAGAATTATTGTGGTGTAAAAGGAGGCCATTCACCCCATCATGCCTGCACTGGATGTATTATCTAGTCGGGCTCTATTACCTAGTGCCTTTTCCCATCCCCCTGCATACCATTACTGTTCTACAAACCTGTCCAACACTGTTTAGAAGGCTTCTATTGTACCTGCCTCCACCACATTCCCAGGCAGTGCATTCCAACCCCTAACCACCCACTGTGTGAAAAAGATTTTTCTCATATCACCCTGGCTTCGTTTCCACATTCGAAAATATTTACCCATACAAAGCGTGGTGGAAGTTTGTAACTCTGCCACAGCGACAATTGATGTGAGATCACCAGTCAATTTTAAAGCGAGATTATTAGATTGCAGTTATCGGAGACATTATGGGATAAGAATAAAATAATAAAATAAACAGGAGCAGGAGTAAGCCGTTGGTCCTCTCAGCCTCCTCCACTATCAATAAAATAATGGTTAAAATAATGGTAAAAAAGACTACGTCCTTGCCTGAACTCAATATCCCTTGATTTCCCTGATGTTCACAGATATATTCATCTTAGCCCTGACTGTAGCCATCAACTGAGCATTCACAATATTCCAGGGTAGAGAATTCCAGAGATTTCACACCCTTCTGAGACGTTCCTTCATATCTCAGCCCTAAATAAGTAACCCCTTAATCCTGAGACGGTACCCTGATGTTTTAGATTCCACAACCACAGAAAGGAACTTTGCAGTGTCCATCCTGTCCAGCCCTTTCAGAATCTTCCTGTGGGTTCCTCTTGTTCTTACAAACTCTTTCAGAGATTAAAGCCTGAATCTATTCAACTTCTCATCATCTCAGAAAAACATCTAGTGGGTATGCAGGGAACGAAGAGGCTTGAGAGGCTAAATAGCCTCTTCCTGAGTTTGTGCGATCTAATCACCGATATTTACCATCCTTTGTGTGACAAATCCTTCCTTGATCTCCCTCCTGAAACTCCAACGTTTGGACGCATCCCCCAAAGTCCGAGCTCTCTGTCTGAAATTTCTCTCTGCACAGATGCTACTGAGTCTCTCCAGTGATCTCTCTGTTTGTTTTAGATTCCCAGCAGCTGCAGTATTCCACCTTTATTACTCTCTGTCACCCTGTCATCATAACCTTTAGAAGTTTCTCCTGAACTTCCTACTGGGTGTGTTACTGACAAACTTATGCTTATGATTCCTAATTTAGGATGACCATGAAAACAGTAAATATTTCCCTTTGTCTTTTGAACACTTTAACATTTTCTGTGAGAAAGGGACACACATAGAGCATTAATATGCATCTAAGATCATGAGAAATAGGAACAGGAGTAGTCCATTCGGCCTCTTGACCCTGCTCTGCCATTCACTAGCATCATGGCTAATCTGACATTCCTCACGTTCACTTTCCAACCCTTTCCCCATAACCCTTGATTCCCCAAATGACGGAGAATAAGAGGGGAGGCAATGGCCTAGTGGTATTATCACTGGACTGTTAATCCAGAGACCCAGCTGATGTTCTAGGAGAGATAGTAGGAACTGCAGATGCTGGAGAATCTGAGATAACAAGGTGTAGAGCTGGATGAACACAGCAGGCCAAGCAGCATCAGAGGAGCAGGAAGGCTGATGCTTTGGGCCTAGACCCTTCATCAGAAATGGGGGAGGGGAAGGGGGTTCTGAAATAAATAGGGGGAGAGGGGGAGGCGGATAGAAGATGGATAGAGGAGAAAATAGGTGGAGAGGAAACAGACAGGTCAAAGAGGCGGGGATGGAGCCAGTAAAGGTGAGTGTAGGTGGGGAGGTAGGGAGGAGATAGGTCAGTCCAGGGAGGACGGACAGGTCAAGGGTGCGGGATGAAGTTAGTAGCTAGGAGATGGGGGTGTGGCTTGAGGTGGGAGGAGGGTATAGGTGGGAGGAAGAACAGGTTAGGGAGGCAGGGACGAGCTGGGCTGGTTTTGGGATGCGGTAGGGGGAGGGGAGATTTTGAAGCTTGTGAAATCCACATTGATACCATTGGGCTGCAGGATTCCCAAGCGGAATATTCCCCAAGAACCCCCTTCCCCTCCCCAATTTCTGATGAAGGGTCTAAGCCCAAAACATCAGCCTTCCTGCTCCTATGATGCTGCTTGACCTGCTGTGTTCATCCAGCTTTACACCTTGTTATCTCTGATGTTCCAGGAGCTTGGGTTCGAATTCCGCTACAGCAGATGGTGGAATTTGAATTCAATAAATATCTGGAATTAAGAATCTACTGATGACCATGAATCCATTGCCAATTGTCAGAAAAACCCATCTGGTTCACTAATGTCCTTTAGGGAACGAAACTGCCATCCTTACCTGGTCTGGTCTACATGTCACTCCAGACCCACAGCAATATGGGTGACTCTTAACTGCCCTCTGGGGCAATTCGGGATGGGCAATAAATGCTGCCTAGCCAGCGACGCCCTCAGCCTGTGAATGAATAAAGGAATCCACCTCAGCCTTAAATATACACAGGACACTGCCCCCACAGCTCTCCATGGTGAGGAGTTCCAAAGACTCACAACCCTCCACATTTCAGAGACTCACACTAGCTGGGCTCAATGCTGTGTCTCTGTGAGGAAACCTTAATGTCATTTCTCAATGTGCCACCTCCCCATCTTCAGGAATCCACAGTGGAACTGATCTTCGCTGCCTTCGCCACCACCTCTAGTGCAACGACTTCACTGATCTACCAGCTCCTGCAGCACCCCCTGGTCCTGGAGAAACTACGGGAAGAGCTGAGGAGTAATGGGATCCTTCACAACGGCTGTAAGTGCGAGGAGACCCCCAGGATGGCCGTGGTGGTCCGCCTCAAGTATCTGGACTGCATCATCAAGGAGGTCCTACGTCTGCTTCCACCAGTCTCAGGTGGCTACAGGACAGCACTGCAGACGTTTGAGTTGGACGTAAGTGCAAATCAAACCCTTTCTTTCTCAGGGCACAGCCAAGAGTAAGAGGGCCTCTCTTCATGGAGCCCTGGGCACGAGCTGCAGAACTTTCCAATGTGCTGTACAGCCAGCCCAGGGCTTGCTTGCCTTCTTCCATCTCAGTGCTGTAATGATAACAGAGTTGCTGATACATCACAGCAGTCAAAACAATTGAAATCGAGCACTTGAAATGTCAGAACGTTCAAGGCTATGGGTCAAGTACTGGAAAATGGGATTAGTGTGGATAGGTTAGTGCAGACTCGATGGGCTGAGGGGCCTCCTCTCTGCTGTATGACTCTGACTAGATTCCCTAAACATAAAATACTCATTGGATTTAAAATAATGAGTGATGATAAATGATTTAATTATTTAAGACGCTTATGGGCAAATCTTGAAGCAGGGGACAGAGTTGGAAAAAGATGTCTCCCATTTAGGACAGAAATGAGGAGAAATATCTTCTCTCAGAGGATTGGCAGTCAGTAGAAGTCTCTTCTCTAGAGAGCAGTGGGTCATTAGACTCCCTAACTTTAAATAATGTTAACCTTGCTAATGTCGATCTTGCTTTGTGCACTTCCTGTGCAGTGTAACCCAGTATGTCTCGCTCTGTCTAAGCACCCTATGATCTATATGTCCTTGTTTGCCAAGATCTGCCTGTACTGCTTGTAAAACAAAGCTTCTCACTGTGCTTAGGTACATGTGACTACAACAAATCAAATCAAATCAAATGAAACCAAATCAAATCAAATCAAATCAAGGCTAAGTTAGGCAGATGTTTGGCTGATAAGGGAGTCAAGAGTTATGGGAGTGTCAGGAAAGTGGAGTTAAGGCCAGAATCAATTCCACCATTATTGAATGCCAGGGCAAGTTTCATTTGCTGAATTACCTAACCCTGCTCATTTTTCTGATGATCTTCCATTAATAAATCCAATGGGGAATTCAGGAAAACTTTTAATCAGAAAGTGGAACTAGTTACTACAGGGAGAAGTCTACTTCAGTGTTTGTTCCCACCACCAGTCAGTAGCAGCAGTGTGTACCATCTACAAGATGCACTGCAGAAATTCACCAAAGATCCTCAGACAGCACCTTCCAAACCCACGACCACTTCCATTTCGATGGACAGGGACACAGATACATGGGAACACCACCCCCTGCAAGTTCCCCTCCAAGCCACTCACCATCCTGACTTGGAAATATATCGCCGTTCCTTCACTGTCGCTGGGTCAAAATCCTGGAATTCCCTCCCTAAGGGCATTGTGGGTCAACCCACAGCAATTGGACTGCAGCGGTTCAAGAAGGCAGCTCACCACCACCTTCTCGAGGGGCAATTAGGGACAGGACAAATAAATGCTGGCCCAGCCAGCCACATCCGCATCCTATATATGAATTTGAAAAGCTATGGTAGGTTCAAGGAGAAAATGGATGAGCAGATTAGGGAGAAAGAGGTGAAAGGATGTACAGGGTGGGGTTAGATGGGAGGATATAAATACCGGTATGGGTCTTCTGGGCCAAATGGCCTATTTCCTTGTTGTAAATTCAAGCCATTTTTAGAATTGATTTTGTGCCCCTTGAGCTGTGCTGACAGAGGTGGACACTCTGACGCCATTCCAGTGGAGGCTGCCACAACATAGTGTCCGAGTCTATGCCAGTGCTGCTGGTCAGTGAGTAGCCAGCAGCCTCACCTTGGAGTTGGGGAATGGGCAAGTTTTGGGACCCAGTCTGATCACAGGCTCGAGCCTGATGCTCTTCTGCTGTACAGGGATCGGTCGCTGTGTCTGTTGTGTCGTTGTTCAGACGAGGCCTTGAAATAAAACACCAGCTGTTCTTTTGGGTGGATTCAAACAATATTGACAGTGCTATTCCAAAAATAGCACTGCTGATTATTTGTTCTTCACCTATCATCAATAAAACTTGATCTTTCGGGATTTTGCTGTGTAAGGGCTTTCTTATGTTACAACAATAACAACATTTTAAAAGTGCTTAATAATAATGAATTGAAAAGCTTTGGAATATCTAATTTTGGTCAGCCTGTTATTGGAAGGATATTATTATGTTGGACAACTTACAGAAAAGATTTACCAGGATGAAGTCGGGAATGGGAAACTTTGAGTTAGAATGTGAGGCTTGAGAGGCTGGGACGTTTTCACTGGAGAGTAGAAAGTTGAAGGGTAACTTTATAGAGGTTATTAAAATCATGAGGGGTACGGATAAGGCGAATGGCAGGTGTCATTTCCCTAGGGTTGGGAATTTCAAGACTAGTGGGCATATTTTTAATGTGACAAAGACTTAAAAAAGACACAAGGGGCAATGTTTTTAAACAGAGAGTGGTTCGAATGTGGAATGAACTTCCAAAGTAAGTGATAGACGCAGGTACAATTACAATGTTTAAAAGACATTTAGGTAAGAACGTGAACAAGAAATGTTTGAATGGATATGGGCCAATCATAGGCAGGTATGACTAATTTAGTTTGGGATCATAGACTAGTTGGACTCAAGGGTCTGTTTCTGTGCTGTATGACTTTATGACTATGAGTCTATGTCCTGAGATTGTGAGAGGCACTATAGAAATGCAAATCTTTCTTTTCTGCATTATGCAGGGGCTGAGCCAACCCCTCCATCATATAATTTGATGACATGCTGATATCGAATGTAGGATTTTGAATTGGGCATTTAACTATCTCCTGGGCTTTGTTTTCAGGGGTGTCAGATTCCCAAAGGCTGGAGTGTCCTGTACAGCATCCGAGACACACACGATACGGCTCCCATCTTCCAGAATTCTGAGGTCTTTGACCCTGACCGTTTCAGTGAGGAGCGGGGAGAGAACAAAGGTGATCGTTTCAGCTACATCCCCTTCGGAGGGGGCATCAGGAGCTGCCTTGGTAAAGAGCTGGCCAAGCTGATCCTGAAGGTGCTGGCGATGGAGCTGGCCAGTACCAGCTGCTTTGAACTTGCCACCCGGACTTTCCCCAGGATGTTGACGGTGCCGGTGGTTCACCCTGTGGACGGGTTAAGAGTCAAATTCTCCGGACTTGATTCCAACCAGAACGAGATAGACCCAGAGACAGAGACAATGCTGGGTTCCACTGTGTAACAGGGCCAACTGCGACACTCTATCACCCACCCCATCCCCAAAAATTCAGCCACCACCCTACCCTGCACCCCTCCGCTTCCCCCCGCAACCCCCAATCCTAACCAAACCTTCACTGAAGCAACAAAATAAAGCAAACACATCTGAACTTGAAAGCAAAGAAAAGCTTCAATGAACTAACATGCAAGCTGTAAAGGAAACCCCTTTGGGAAAACCTACTCAGATTGTCCAGCAAGGAATTTTGGATGGGAAAATATCCATGGGAGAGCTAGATAGAGCGAATTCCATGGTGAGAAGGCACAGGATTATATTTCTGGACAAAATCGAAGCGATCGAGATTGGAGGAGGCAGATAAACGTCAGAAGAGGATTAGTGTTGGAGAGAGAGACAGGAGAAGGAGGAAAAGAGAAGAGAGGAAAATTGGTGGGAGAGAAAATATTTGACATCAAAACAAAAGACTATCTTTAAAAAAAACACATATATATCCTGCGTTCCTACTTAAAGTATATATATGTATAAACCTACTCTGAGTACCATTCTAGGTATATAACTTGATTAGAGATTGCAACAGAGTTGCAGCCTTTGGCACTTTGAATGTTGATCCATTACTGATGCTGGTTATATTCAGCATAAACTTAGAAACAGTAACAAACTGGTTTGAATTTGTACTATTCCTATCTTTAAGCTATATATGGATTATTTGTCATTGTGTTTTTTTTATTTTAAGATTGCAATTAGACGTCTAGTGTAAAAAGAAACTATTTTTTTCTGTTGGTAAATATTGTTTTAGTAAAAAATGAACAAAAGAATCTTTTACATGGAGCTGTGTGATTAGACATTGTGTGTGAGAATGAGTGTGTGTGTGTGAGTGAGTGTGTTATGTGTCAGAGTGAGTGTGTGTGTTTGTTTGTGTGAGAGTGAGTGTGTGTGTTTG